TGAGCCACACCGGCCGGGCTTCTCTTATTGAATCTAGTAGTTTTTAGAAGAGTTCTGGGGGTGTGGGGGGGGGGTTAGGTATCGGATCAAGTCATCTGCAAATTGCAAACACGTTTGTCTCTTCTAATATTTATACAACTTTTTTGAGTTGATGTCTTACTGTGAATAACTAGACATTTTGAAAGTGGAATCATGGTGATGGTTGATCTGTCTGTCTTGTTCCTGATTTTAAAGGTTTTGCCTGCAGCACGTTAGGGGCGTTTGCTGTAGATTTTCTGGAAAACAGACTGTTGTTATATGCAGGTAGTTTCCATGTTAGTTCTGTTTGCTCAGAGCTTTTATTAGGAAAAGTTTGCTGAATGATGTCAAACCCCATTTCTATATTTCTGGAGGTTTTCTGCTTTGTTTATTCATGGAATGAATGAGGGTGATGGATGATGGCTAATTTCTGTAATAAATGCTAAGTGGCTTTTTTGCTGTTGAATTGAACCCACTGATATTTTATTGACCATTTTTTTTGCATCGGTAACGTTTCGCTGAACGGGCCTACAGTTTTGTGTTGTTTTTATGAGGCGTTGCATAAGGCTACGTGAGCTTGACAAAACGACTTCGGGAACTTTCCGTCTTATTCAGGAAGTTTCATTAGAACTTGTATTGTTAAGGATGACATTTAGCCCGGCCGGTGTGGCTCAGTAGTTGAGCATCTACCTATGAACCAGGTGGTCTCGGTTCCATTCCTGGTCAGGGCACATGCCTGGGTTTCAGACTCAATCCCCTGTGTGGGGCATGCAGGAGGCAGCTGATCAATGATCAGGACGGGCCAGCCAGACCCCACCAGTGCATGAATTTGTGCACTGGGCCTCTGGTTCTCCAATAAAAGGAACCAGGGTTTTTTGAAGAAATAGCTGTTTCTACTCCAGGGCAGAGAAAACATAGATCAGAGTAGAGTATCATGTGTTGCCAGAAAGTAAGGAAATGGTGATTAATAATAATAACAGCAATAACAAAAATGACGACACCATGTCCAGGAAAATGGAGATCAAACTGAAAGATTTCCCAATGTCCAAAATTAGAACAATTGAAGCAATAAAACGAAACATTATTTTTGGTTTGAGCCTCAACCTATAAGGAGCTTAAAAGCTGTCATTCTCATTCTTACAAGGAGAAAAAGTAGAACATACTGAAAATAAATAATTTTTCCTGAAACTACCAGAGAACAAAGGTTTCAGGAGAAAGAGTCACCCTCCAATCTGGGGAATTAGCTTAATACAGAGAGTTACAGCTGAGACAGCCTACAGGGCACAGGAGGTACAGGAGCCATGAACTGACGGTAAATCTTAAATGAGAACTTCAAGGAATTGTTGGAGGCTGAGTGTGGGTGAGGCTGAGAGAGAGAAACTCTGTAGGCCAAAGTCTGAGGAGTGTGGCCCTCAATGGTTTGAATTATAGAAACCCCACCAGATTCTCTAGTGAAGTTCCAAGTAAAATCTCTCATGACTTTGGCAGAAGGAAAGGAAGAGTAATTGTGAAATACACCCAGGATGTGCTCCACACCAAAGTCCTACCCTTCACCGAAGATTTTACTAGAACCTTACCCCAACTGGAGAAGGGCATCCCTTCTACACCAGCATGCGTTAGCTTCCTACCGCACCTAAGGGTTCAAAAGAAACAGCTCTGCCCTGAACAGCACTTGTGATGCACACAGCCCAGAGAGTCACCCAGCTACTGAGCAAGATCACCTAAAACAGTGGTTCGCAACCTTCTGGCCCTTTAAATACAGTTCCTCACGTTGTGACCCAACCATAAAATTATTTTCGTGGCTATTTCATCACTGTCATGTTGCTCCTGTGATGAATCGTCATGTAAATATCTGATCTGCAGGATGGTCTTAGGCGACCCCTGTGAAAGGGTCGTTCGACCGCCAAAGGGGTCGCGACCCACAGGTTGCGAACCGCTGGTGTAAGCGATGGGGCGGGGGCGGAGTCTGATGACTTAGCTCAGGCGTTGAAGACAAGACACGCGGCGCCACCTCGTGGCCAGAGAGGGAAGTGCATCACCGCCGCCGATTTGAGCAGCAAACTCATGGCCAGTGACACGGTCCCGTCTGTCAATGTGAGAGAGACACAATTGGTTGCCTCCCTCACACGCCCCACCGGGGCCAGGGATCAAACCTGCAACCCAGGGACATGCCCTTGATGGGGAATCAAACTTGCCACCGCTCAGTGTGAGGGCCGGTGCTCTATCCACTGAGCCACAGGAGCCAAGGCAATTTTTTTTTCTGATTCTTTTGAGAGAGAGTGAAAGGGAGGGAAGATGGGGGGAGAGAGAGAGAGATGTAAGAGCGACACTTCTGTTCGTTGCCTCCCTCACATGCTCCAACCGTACCTGCAACCCAGGTACATGTCCTTAGCCGGGAATTGAACCTGCGGCCCTTCCCTGCACAGTCCGGTGCTCTATCCAGTGGGCCACACTGGTCAAGGCGAGTTGGTATTTTTTAATGTCATCGTGCTGCCTCTGTGGAGACAGGCCGGTGGAGCCCAGAGCCCTCCTGCATGTCTCCCTGCCTTGCATCACCTGGTTCTCAGGGTTCTAGAACCTTCCTCGGACAGCAGACAGGGGACTGCAGGGAAACCCCCGTGGATCTCCACTGTCCGCTGAGGTTTTTAGCATGTGTGTTTTTTAGTATGTTTTCATTGATGTAAGAGAGGACGGGAGAGGGAGAGAGGGGTAGCAACATCATTGATGAGAGAGAATCATCGATGGGTCCGCTGCCTCCTGCACGCCCCACACTGGGGATCGAGCCCACAACCCAGGCCTGTGCCCTGACCGGGAATCAAACCGGGACCTCCTGGTTCGTAGCTTTGAGAGGGTGTAAGACAGTGGTTCTCAACCTTCTGGCCCTTTAAATACAGTTCCTCCTGTTGTGACCCAACCATAAAATCATTTTCGCTGCTACTTCATAACAGCAGTGTTGCTACTGAATCCGGAGCTGCAGGATGGTCTTAGGCGACCCCTGTGAAAGGGTCGTTCGACCGCCAAAGGGGTCGCGACCCACAGGTTGCGAACCGCTGGTGTAAGCGATGGGGCGGGGGCGGAGTCTGATGACTTAGCTCAGGCGTTGAAGACAAGACACGCGGCGCCACCTCGTGGCCAGAGAGGGAAGTGCATCACCGCCGCCGATTTGAGCAGCAAACTCATGGCCAGTGACACGGTCCCGTCTGGGGAGCGCTGACGTCTGTCTGTCTGACTCTCTGCCCCCAGCCTCTCCGTGTGAAGTGGGCCCACCTCAGGCTGCCCTGGGTGGACATCGACTGGCTCATCGACATCTCCTGCCAGATCACGGAGCTGGACCTGTCGGCCAACTGCCTGGCCTCCCTCCCGTCCGTCGTGCCCTGGGGGCTCATCAACCTGCGGAAGCTGAACCTCGCGGACAACCACCTGGGCGAGCTGCCGGGCGTGCAGTCCTCCGACGAAATCATCTGCTCCAGGTGGGCCTCCCTCGGGGCCGGGGTACTGGGGGGGAAGGGTTGTGAGCCGGGGGAGGGGGGAGTCTGCACTCCACTTGCTGGCACCAACCTCTGCTGCCTGTGGTCCCTGGCTGTGTGTGTATTTTGGGTTTTTTTTTTAAATATTTTTTATTGATTTCAGAGAGGAAGGGAAAGGGAGGGAGAGAGAGAGAGAGAGGGAAACATCAATGATGAGAGAGAATCATGGACCGGCTGCCTCCTGCACGCCCCCCACTGGGGATCAAGCCCGCAACCCAGGCATGTGCCCTTGACTGGAATCGAACCTGGGACCCTTCAGTCTGCAGGCTGAC